CCAGCCTAGCCTAGTTAGGACTAGCCCTTCATCGTACCTTTGTTGCTGGTTGGTCAATGGTATCTTGTGTTTTTGGTGTCACAGCATTCGAACCTGCGGCTTTGGGAAATAGCCTCGAATTTGTCTGTGACGTTGAACACTGCGCCGCCGCTTTCTTCGTCACCGGGCGGCTAGCTGCTGGGCCAAGAATTCGTCGTCAAGGCGAACGAGCCTATGCCACAACCCAGTGAGCTTTTGCGGTCACAAGCAACTGCAATGTGGCTGGGAATTCGGGGGCTTCCAGGAGTACACCAGCAGGGGTTCCGGAGAACCAACCCCTTAATTGAATATATTTACGGGCCAGGGGTTCTAAGATGTAGAAATGACTGAAACTCCTCTTGAAGTTGTCCAACATCCCCACGCTCCACGATTACTTTTCCCTCTTTCGAATTACTCTTGTATCTCTATCTCGCCGGCTGTAATATCTCGAAGGAGCTCGTTGTGCCTTCCGATTTTATGATTTACTTTCATTCGTTGCTCAATTCCAAGCGGCATCAGTGTAGTCCACACGGCCTTCACATTCATGCCCAAATATTCGACATCGGAACTCTACAGCATGCCTGGCCCCCAATTTTCTGATCCCACGCGCTTGCGTCGGCGACAGAGACGCACACATTCCCTTACACTTCAAAGGTGCACGGTCTACTTCAAGTTGCTCCGCAACCAGTCCATGATTATGAAATTTCGCATGTTCCTTGGCAAAAAGGGTGACGCAATTCGGCGATCGTTAAGAGCCGGCGAGAAACGCATTTGGAAATCCAAACGCCGTCCCACTAAAGAGTTTGAAGAACACTGGCAGCAAGATGGAGTGTTTCAAAATATGTTTACCGGGTATGACAGTCTCATATTTCAGTTGTTACGCAGCGACACTACCACCACCTTCCGCCAAGTTTTCAAAGCTATCGGGGTTTTCTTTGACGATCACAGGGATGTTTTTGACAGCTTGTCCTTGGACATCGATGATTTGCCAGAGGACAAGAGAGTCAAGATTCAAACCCCAGACGTAAAAATATGGCAGGGGGAATGGAAGCGTAGGACCATGATATACTCTACTCCACGGCAACCAAGACTACGATTACGAAACCATCCTAGCGCGTAGGACCATGATATACTCTACTCCACGGCAACCAAGACTACGATTACGAAACCATCCTAGCGCGTAGGACCA